CAATACAAACACTATAGACCTCTTTATACATAAGTGTTGAATGGTCTTATAATTACATTTTCCTATAATTTTCCGGCAGCATGCAGGCCCGTAAATAAAAGGGGGGGGGGGACTATATTGGCCCTTGTTCTTGGTGTGAGTGTTTAAAATCACCCAAGGATAAACCCTATCAACGCTTCAATTTAAACTCGTACCACATAAAACACTAGTGCTGATCGTAGCTAGGTTTACTTGGATTTAAGAGCAATTAAAAATTCCCATAATAATTTGTATTCAAGGTACACATTGGTTGTGGGAAGTTCTCAACATGTTAAGAAACAAGACGACCGAGTACAAAAAAGACGTGAAAGAGAAACAAATGATAGAATTTCTTCAGAAGGGAGATCTTGATAAAGAACCTTCACCAAGAGTTTTAAACACACATTTATATCCCAGTCTTTTACCAAAACAACTGTTAGAGAAAAAAACCAAACTGGTTTATTTGATTTGGAATCCTAAAGATACAGCTGTTTCATTGTATTTTCATTTCTATGGATTACAATCTATGACATCTTATACAGGAGATGTACATGATTTTTTAGATATGTACCTGCATCGAGAATGTTAGTGAAAATTATGTAGAAGATAATAAAAAAATACATGTTACTAGGCTACTAGTTAAGGTAATTTTGACAGGATGGCAGCAATAGTCATATAAAAGACTAGGCTAATATGCATTACTTACCTTCAAAAGGGGGGTTGAAATTCATCTCTACCTATGATGGAAATGAACCTCAGGCCTCAAGGTAAGCGAGCTAGCACATAACATCTCTGTTTAGTGTTGATTTGTTTAACACACTTGTCAGAGGTGGAGAGACTAGACTATATAAAACACTATGCAATGGTTGCTTTCTGAGAATATTTGTTATAAATGTTAATTTTTCAAAAATATTTACCCTGAAACAAATTGCTAGAGATTGGCCCTTAGACCAGCATTATGATTGCTAAACAGATATTAAAATCAAGAAAGTTTAGACAGTGAGAGCGCTACAGGAGTAGAACGTTATAACTTCCCAAGCTTATATTCAAGCCTTTTAACTTACGCTAAGTAACAAATAAAATTAATATCTTAGTATTTATTCCACTAAAAATACATGTGTCTTTTGTCATGATCAGGGCATGCTTACCCTTTTGGAGCACTAAATGCCTCCCTAAGATTGTGTTTTTCAGCTCTGATTCAGATTTAATGTGACGGCAACTCACACACCAAATTTGAAAGGAAGGTTTTTTCACCTAGCCTAGCAGTAGAAATTTAAATACCATTCACACAGCACTAACTGGATTCTCACTCTTCCACCATATCATACTTGTAATGAATAATTTACCACTTAATACAGATATAATACCACTATCAATGTGACTTCATTATAGAATGTCTGAAACATATCAATTATTAATATATATTTATTGAATTCATATGTCTGTACCAATAGATCTGTCTTTAGAGATCTACCACATAGAGAATTAATCAATTTTAAAACAGAATTCTCATTTAATGGATTAACCCTATTGAAAATCAGAAAAATCGAATTGTATTGTTATTTAAAACGCGTTCAATTTTAGCTTGAAAACACTCTAGAGGGTTCAGTTATTGACAGATTTTGACAAAACTTACTGTACTCAACTGCAAAATATTTTTATTTAAAATCAAAGCTGCCAGTGGGTGTATATTACCTTGCTTTGCAAGCTATCTTGATAAATATAACAATACACTTGCCCTGAGTTCAGTAAGCAAATCTTTTTTTAAAAAGTTTTCCTGTTCTATTGAAGAATAGCGTCAATTCAATTGGTTAGTCAAAATATTTTTTGAAAATTGTTTTATAAAAATGATTCACTGAATACAGGACTGCAATGAAAATGTAAAGATCAATATAATTAAAATATATTATTTAATACTAACCCAGCTGTCATTCCTTTATTACCAGATAATATAATAAATGCTGATTTCTCTGTTTTCTGTTTATCTTGTAACATTGATAATGTATTTAATGGAGTATCTGTAGAACTCATTTGTTTCATTAACTACAACAGAAACAAACATCTGTTTATATTTTCACTGCTAAAATAGTGCTCAATACAATTGTAGAGCTTTAATGAAGTCAATTAAGTTTCACTCCAGAAATAGGTTTTTAACAGTAAAGCAAAATGCATACTCTGAGACTATTACCATGTCATGATTGGCTGGCATTTTGAGTCAAGTTTTGAAATCTTTTATTGGTTAAAGTGGAAGGATGCAATAATATTTTCAAAATTTAAAATATTTAAAAAGCAAATGAAGCGCATAAAACAAAGTTTATTCCTTCTATTACAGTAATTCAACCTAAATACAACAATTAAAAAAAAATATTACAATGTTCACAACATCCAGCCTCTGATAACTATTGTTGAAGTTGTTGGGTGGAATATGGTCAGGAGATCTAGACCCTGTTTACATGACATAAATGGTGTAGAGGGATAATGATGGTCTGAGTGAACTACACAAATATCCATCTCAAATATATTGAGGTTGGGTGAATTATAAGTAAATAGATATGTTTAAAAACCCTGCATCACCCAATATACATATATCAGGGTTTGGTGGATTTGAAGTAAATAAATAAATAAATAAAGAGCCCACGCATACAGAAATCCCCATAAAACAGAGTTTTTCTGTCTCCACACCAGGTGACAATTGTCAAAATAACTATCAGAGGCTCAAGGCAGATGTAAAGGACTAGGATATAAAAGATATTGTGACACTTCATTAAAACACAAATTTTGTTCACAAACCTGTTCTTCCTCCAATTTCTTATTTCTTTTCTCAGTCTTTCGTTTACCAGAACCTTTGCCATGGAACCGATGAGACAATTGTCGAAAAGCTTCCTTAGGATCTAGACATCTTCCTTTATCATCTACATATTCTAATTTAACATCTGGTTTATAACCATCTTTATCTTTAAATTCACTGATAACACCTCCAGCATAACGATCTCTCTTTCTAAACTTCTCATCTAGATCACTAAAATATAATATTGCTGGTATATAAACAAATTATTTGTCAACCTAACTGACTTAAGAAAAGTTTTAAATTGTCTTTGGAATATGTTATATACTATTTCAAAATTAGGAATAAATAAATGTTCTCCAAAGATATCTGCTAATTACTAATGTATATGTGACACATGCCTAAGCCTAGTCACAATATCTATGGTAGCACAAGATGAATATGGAAATGAGCTTAATGGAGATAGATAAACTTTAAATTTTTAAGTAACATAATGATCACAATACCAAGGTTTCCCATATATATATATAACTATTCACTTTTGGAAACTAATTTGAATCGTTGGTAAAAAAAAAGACAAAAAATATTATTCAATATGAATAAAAAATCTATACATACTCATATCGTTTGTCTTCAATGGAATAATTCTTTGCTTCTAAATCAACTTTCTTGGATGCTGCAGACATTTTCAATTGTTCTTTTTCCAAATAACCTGAAGGACATAATATATGACTAAAATATTCTGAAATTACCACATATTCGATAAGGGTATATTGTCTGATATAGATATGCATTTGGCTTCCTAGCCTTACCACTTTTATATATTTTCGTCATCTGAGAGGTTAATGTGGTGACATCTTTACTAAAGTAGCAGCTTTGTTTTTACAAAATATAAACAATGTAAATAGTTTACCTTTTTTCATAGCAAGTTGTAAAGCAGCACCAACACCCTCACTAACTATTGGTTCCTCTTCTAATACAGCTTTCTCTTCTCCCTTTAAAATATAAATAAACATATAAAACAATTCAGAAACATAAATATAAATATCTGAATTTTCAATTACCTAAACAACTCGGGCTAAAGGATTTCCTTGGCCACAAATTTGAAAAGGAGAAATGTTAAATTATCCTCTGCAGTAAAAATAATCAGCTTTTTTAATGGCCAATTTGAAAACATGACAGTAGAAGATCCAGATAAGTTTTGGAACAAATGAAACTTGTCTAGACCTCCTCCAACATTAGTAACATTATAAATGTATATATTTATATCATTTATATGATAACAACTGGAAAATGATAACCAGATATAACGATAACAGAACTGAATTATGACTATAAAATCTTTACAGACCATAATATCTGCAGGTTGATCATCAATATCAACTTCATTCCAGCCACTAGGATTATCTTCATCTTCCTCTCTTCTCTTCTGTTCTAATAATTCTAATTCCATATCCTAGAATTGATATCAAAAACTCTTTTAAATCTGATAGTTGTGCATCTAAGGTTCTACAACTTATCTAAATGCTATTCCTATTTCAATGTATTTCCAATAAATATTCTACATAAGCAGAAGCTCACAAAGTCTTACAGCAAACAAACAATCAGATGCTTTTACAATAGCTGTATCTTTACTATCAGAGTAGTGGTGAGTGTCACTCGCAAACCAGTCCATGTTACTTTAGAAACGCCTGATGATACTAGTTTACCAAGGATTTTTATTAAAAACCTATAATAGATGTCCAGCAAAAGATATTTGAGTGACCCTGCCAGTTTCAGTCATGTCCTAAAAATATTAACAGCCCTCCCTGAGTTAAGGGTCTATATATAAATTCCATGCCATTCGAGTCTCCTTTAAAAACTTGATCATACTCACCATGATTTCTTCTCTATCTTCCTCTCTGTTACCAGCTAAACCATATGTTGGTATTTCACCTAGGTTACGACAGAATTCTGATGTTGAATTTAATATGATGTTATTATCTGGCATGTCAGAGCTGTTTTCATCTTCAACTGTTCTGGTTACTAATTCTGCAACCTGAAACATTTTTATGTTGGACTGTTACAAATTAAAGCTGCATGTGTTGAATACTTCAAATGATCGTAGCATATAAACATTTCTAGTATTCCTAATTATTCTTTTTTTTTTCATCATTCTCCCAATTTTTTTCATTTTTTAGCCAAATGTTACACTTGAATTAGCAAATCATTATTTTCACCACTTCATTACACAGGATGACTGAAAACTGGCAAACAACAGAAGCACTTTTTGCACCTTGACCAATCCAAATTTATGATGATAATATCGCCCTTCTGCATAAGATATTGTTAAGCCCAGCCATGTTGAAAGTATTTTATTCATTTGCAATTTTCAAAATAAAAGCATAGAATAACGGTGTACCTTTTCTGGTATAGGTCTATTCTTATCTTTTTTATGCTTGAGTTTTCTAGCTTTTGATAGAACTGACTGTAGTTCTTCTTCTGCATCATCATCAACCTGAACTGAACTGACATCATCTTCTGTTACCATAGCAAAATATACATACAATTAAAGAGATTCTTGTGAAGAAACAACATATATATTGCCATAATTCCTATTGTTAGTCCTAATAACCATATTTGTAACATATAGTGAGGATAATTTTTGACAAACATTTCTTCTTTTATCATGCTAAAGTTTCACTTCTTATTGGGCAATATTTGAATTTTAATATCTGCTCTCTTTTCAATTCAGAAATCTGGTCCATCTTGTTATGACCATCTTGAAATGCTTTTCATCATACCAAAATGACTTTTATAACTCTTTTTATAACTTAAACAAAGACAAGGAAGAAGAAATCAATTCAAAGAAATGAAAATGAAAAATGAAAAGAATGGAGTTTACATCCTTCTTTTCTACATCATGTGGGCAAATGAAGACAGGCAATGCCATGCAGGGTGTTATAAGGAAAATTTTGCCATAACAGCGGCATTAGCTTGATCTTTTTCGATTTCTAACTGTCAAGGGATTTAAAAACGTGCACAGTCTGTAGCACACAGGGCCTCATATTATTGTTTCATTTGAACGACTAGACGCTTTTTGAACAATCCAAAGGTATTTTCTTGACCAATGTCGGGATTGAAACATGGACTTTCAGGTTAGCAAGCGTCGTCTAACTCAATGAGCCACCACGTCCACATCAATTCAAAGACCATTCCAATATCTGGTACAAAGAAAAATTACGATACCTTGCTGTTCACCAACTTCCATAGGGTCAGTAACTAATGTTAAACCAGGTATAGAGCCTGTATCTCTGGAATAACAATATTTAATAATCTAACAAATTATATTGCCTAACGAGATCGATTTCTATTATGAACTTGTCATCAAGTGAAATAAACATTAGTGTTGACATTCAAACAAAGTACAACAAAAATACAGCACAATCTGGACCTGAAATTCTGAACATGTAAACATAACCATTCAATATTAAAATCTACGAACCTTCTACCATGATTTACTTCATCTTCTGGTAAAGGCAGTAAATCATCAGCTTTTAATGCCTTGCTTCTTATTTTACGTACTTTCTTTTTAACTTTCTTAAATTTGGCTTCCTGAAATAGAAAATTAGAACAGATGTTAAAAATTAAGTCATACGTAGTATGCAGATACCACAGGCCTTGTGAGGTGCATTTTTTTTTTAAAGGAAAAATATTTAAATGAAAACCTACCATTTCATCTGGAGTATAATATTCATTGGCTAGTTGTGGTGCTGATAATGTTAAAGATTGCTGAAAATATAAATGAAGAAAGTTATTCAATAATGTTGTACAGTTTAATTAAAGTTTATAATGGAAGTATCAATGTAAAAAGATATAAATAGTAAAGAAAGAGGATTAAGGGGTTAAATTACCATAAGAAACTCTTTTTGAAATAGGACATGGAGTTGAGATTTAGATTTAAAATAAGGAATAGTAAGTGAAAAAGTTTCTGACTTGACAGAGTTTTCATCATAACATTGTATTACCTAGTCCAAAAAAAAAGAAACTTGAGAACTTGACCTTCCTTCAAAGAAACCTTATAAC